CTCTCGTTTAGTATCGCTTCTCCAGCAGCCTGTAAATTCCAGGAGGGCTGGCTGATGCCTCCTTTGTTCACTGCTGAGGTCTCAGTGCCCAGCATGGAGTCTGCTACACAGGAAGAACTCAAGAAATGTTGACTGAATAGATGAAGTCAGGAGAGACCTCTCACTTAGCTCCTGATTCCAGCTGAAGCTGAAATGAAATAGCTCCACAGGCTTTATCTGCAAGAGCCATGCCCAGTGCTGAGATAACAGGCAATGACTACCCCCCTCCTGCCTCCAAACAGATCTTCCATGTCTCGAGGTGACACTCTATGGCCAGACCGTCCAGCTGTGTGTGCAGCACACTATTTCCTTACCCCTAGGTTCTGCTCCTTCCTTTCCTGCACAGATGTTCTCTTGGGAGGCTCAATCCTTCTCTGGGCACAGAGAAGAATCCCTGTAGTCTATTCTTCTAGTGCCTTCTGACTCACACTGCCATTAGTGGCACATGCCTCTGTCATATTAATGGTGATTTATGACCATGGGGAGATGGCTGGTTATTTCCTATTAACTGTAGCCAAACAAGTCTCAAGCACCAATGTGACCATTACTGCCATCAAGGTTTATTTCTCAGCAGTCCCCACACTGTTCCCCTTGCCAGTCCCCAGAATGGGCTTCCAAGCCCCTAAGTCTGGCAATCAAAGAGAACAGGTACTCCAAGTATACAAACTCAGTGTATTACTAACCTAAACTAAACATGCCTAGAAGAAGAACTCTTCTGGGAAGAGGAGCACACATTGAATTCTAAAGTAAAATGAACACTTTGGATTATCTCTTGCTCTTCTCCACGGGATGCAAACTGGGCACTAGACTTAGCACACAGCACACTAGGCACTGTCTCAAGTTCACCAGGAAGTTCTTGGGATTAGAAATGAATGTCGAGTCTGCAGAAGGTGAGGCCCTGCAGGGGTGCCCCAGTGGAGCATCTCTGTAGTTGAAGATCTTTTTTTTTAAAATTTATCAATATATAATGTAGTTGATTTTCGTGTCCCTTTACCAATTCCTCCTTTCCCCCCTTCCCTTTCCCTCCTCCCCCCACCAATATCAGAAGATCTTTTCATCCTAGTGGAAGGACACATCTATTGATGTCAGCTAGTCACTGCCTGCCAGTGACTGACTTTCAGTGGCAGATTTTCAGACCTCCACAAGCCACTTTTGGAGCCTGCGAAGAGCTACTGAATCAGAGCCACAAAGCAGGCTATTACTGCCCAGGACTTTGGGTAAACTCTACATGTGTGTCACCTGAAGTGCTGCCCCCAGACTCTGAGCCACAGCCGGCAGCCCTGGGCCGGCCCACTGCTGCCCTTGGCTCTGACTGCAGTGCTGCTGCCCGTCAAAGCCTGGCATCCAGCCGTGCTCTCCAGAGCAGAATTGCAATAAGGGCAGAATTATTACAACAGCAATTACAGCTGGACTTTCCATTGCACTGTGCAGTTTCCAAACATGTTTTATGTTTATTTCATTTCATGCTCTTTATTGGCAGATGAGGATACTGGGTCTCCTACGTCTGTAGTGACTTGCAGTAAGCAGTGGTGTTGGGAGTTGCCTAGGTCCTTTGGCTTCAAAACCCATGTCCTGTGGCAGAGGTGTCCAGTGGCTGATGGCTGCCTTTGGAAATGGGGACAGCAGGGACCTGGTCTAGTGACCTGGAATGCTAGGAGTTCTCTCTGTCCAGTTCGCTCTGGCTGCCCTGAGGCTTAGGTGTTAGCTGGTGGTTGGTAAAGTCCCTTTAGTCCTTCTGTTTTGAGAAATGACTAGTTGCTAGCATAAGAAAAGAGCCCTGGGCCTCCTTGAGCACTGTCATTCTCCAAAAATAACAGATCAGGTCCTCCTGTAGAATTCATGGGTAGCAGGAAAATTCAAGCATGTTCTCTTTCTGTTTCCAGGGCTTAGTGACTGAGAACGGCTCGGAAAGCAACATAGCATGGCACTTATCCTGATAGAGGTCATGTTGCAAAGCCGGGCTAAGACCTGTGGATGGCTCCCAGGGCGGGATGGCGGAGCTGGAGTTGGTTCTGGAGGATGGCAGGGACCTTGCTTCTCAGGATTTGGGCAAGAGCAGGCCCAGCCTACCCAGAGACTAACAACCCATGGGTTCCATAGGGAAGGGACAATGTCTGTGGACTCCACTCTACTGCCAGTGCCTAGCTCAGTACCTGGAGTCTCTTAAGGATCCAGTAGGTGTCTGTTGGCTGATCTTCTGATCACTGAATATGTTGTGTCTGAGTCATTGCTGAATGTGGGCCAATTGCTTCCAATGGGACAGGGACATAGGAGATTCCAGATCTGAAGCAGGCCCAGGTGCTGAGATCACCCATCCTCAGGAAATTAGGCTTATCCTCAAAGTCTCGAGACAACGGGCCAAGGGTTTGAGTATAACATATGACTGCCCAAGGATCCAAGGCAAGCTAGGATGCCCCCCCGAGAGGGCTGTACTCCGAATCAAGGTATCCAGGGAGGTGCCACTCAAGACTCCAGGCAGGAAACAGGAATCCAGAAAAATGTTTCTTCAGGAAGAGGACTCCAGAAACAGGCTGGGGACCCCCAGCGTAGTAGGGAGGGGGATTTGCAAGAACAAAAGGGCGCTCTCATACTATAAGGGACTGGAGTAGTGGGACTTAAGACAGAAGATCAAGACCAGGCACATGCCCAGTGATCAGAACTGGCCACGAGGCCAGGGACAAACTCCAGGCAAGGTGAACACGGCACTGGATGGGCTGAGAAGTCTGGTTTAACTTCATCCCATTACTGAGGTCTGGTGCCAGGCTGGGCCTACAGGGGGGATCCCAGGAGCAGTGCCAAGAGGAGAGGAAGGCTGCCGAGACAGCGGACCGGGCATAGGCCTCACTTCTGCCCACAGAGTTCACGGAGGCTTGCATCTGTCTAGGGGAGGAAGGGGAGGTAGCCTACCGGGGGTGGCATTTAAGAAAGTAAAGAAAATGTTGGCATCCCCTGAGGAGCATAGACAGAAGGGACTAGTGCCTGGTGGTCCTGGAGAGGCCCCGCGCACATTCCATGAGAGTCAAGCTGGTGCTGGGGTCAGCGGCTGCCCTGTCACCAGCCACCTGCACCCCATTCTGTTCAGGCAGGTCCCTGCCCTAGGAGCCTGTGGTCCTGTGAGGGAGAGAGCCCATGCCTGCAAGGGACCTCAGAACAAGCACAGAGAGGCCCACGAACAAACAGGCACAGACACGATCACAAAAGAGGCACCACAGCTGCACGTGTGGGAAAAAGTGAGCTGGGAGTGGAAGGGAGAATGTCCCCAGAGCAGGAGAGTGACAGGAGAACAAGTCACCAATGGGTTTTGTGCAGTCTCAGAAAAAAAAAAAAAAAAGGCAGTGTCGGGGGAAAGAACAGATTTCGTAAGTGAAGTCATCTCTACAGCACCTCTATTGTCATGCTGAAACCTCAGCTTATACACTGACTTCCATTCAGAACACGCTTGAAGTAGGTATTGCCTGTTCCCCACTGAATCAGAGGGAAACTACAGTGCCCACTGGAGCGCTCCCATGAGCCAGGGGGAGTAGGCTGCCGTGGAATTGCTCCTTCACACCTCCCAGTCTTCCCTTCTGCAGCCCAGGAGCACAGAGGGGCTGGCACGTCTCCAGAGGCTGAAGACCCGGGCCAGGTAGGTCCCTGGGGTGACCCTCTTCTCCCCTGTTGGCTGGGGAGGACCGCAGGACTTCCAGGCATCTGCTCAGCCTGGCCCTCCCGCAGGGCCCCTCCCTACCCACTTCCTCCGGCCCTGAGGTGTTAGGGATGCCTGCAGGCCCCAAATGCCTGGAGCTCCCAGAAGGCTGGCATTTTGTCTGCTCCACTAGGCTCCTGGCAATGTGGGGTTTTGCCCAGTTGACCGTGGGTGGAATCCTCCATCAAGCTCCATGAGCTTCCTGCCGAAGGCTAGGCTGATCGCAATAGGCAGAATCCAGGGGCTCCCCGACTCCCACCACAATGGAAACTTACTAATGAGGTCCACCCAAATACCCTCCAAGGGAGTCCCCACCCCAATATCCTCCTTCAACCCCCTTTTCTCTCCTAACACACCTGCTTTTGTCCCCCTCTTGAGTGTCTCTGTCTTTCTTGTCTGACACATGCATACAAAAAGCATTCAATGGTTGTCACTGAATTTTTCTCTAGATATGAAGGGTCTCCCCCTCCAGGCCTGAGGCTCAGAGGAGTCAGCACAGGGCCGTGGAGAGCATGTGGAACGAGGACCTGAGATCTTGGCCCAGCTCGCCTCAGCTGCAAAATGGTGAGGGTCACCATGCACCTCACTCCAGGGCTCTGGGGAAGTTGACAGAGTGCACAGACATCAGAGGGTTATGCAAGTGGAGGGGCCATTGCTACTGGAGTCAGTTACCATCGCCCAAGGCCCTGCCGTCACCAATACCCTGCACCACGCACAGCCAAGCCTGAGGCCTCCTCTGCGTCCTCCCGCCCTTGGTCCGTCTCTGCTCCACCCACCATCTCTAAATGGCCCTCTTCCTTCCCGTCACCTGGAAGGTCTGTCCCAGGGGACATGGCTTAGATGAGATTGATGGTCTCGGGAGCTAAAGAATAAAATAAATCCAAACCAAATCAAAATACTCCACCAAGCCTGGCACTGTAGTTCCATTCTGCAGAGATTCTGTGACCACACTCGGACCAAGGCTAGAAGTTCCTCTGACAGGTCTCTAGGCTACGTATAGCTCCCAGGCTACATGTAGGCTCCCATTCTGGAGCAGTCCTGGATAGCTTGTGCCCCCCACCCCAGCTCCAGGACCCTCGTCTCATCCCCTGAGGCCAGGACCTTTGAGCATCTGCAGGGGAGTTGCTCCGACCAGCCCCAACTTCCCCAGGGCCCAAGGAGCTCGCCTTCTAGGAGCAAATTCAAACACAAGGAGGAGCTGCTCCCTGGTTTTCTGTTCCACGGTGGCCTTCAACCCTCCCATTCCAGAGCAGCAGGAACGCAGACATCCTTTGGCTTGGTTGTCACGTGTGTTTATTGAGCGCCCACAGAGTCTGTGGAGCTATGCTCGGGGTTCGGAGCCACGGTCTAGTCAAAAGGAGACCAGAGCTAGTACAGAGAATGATTCGTGGCTGCTTAACATCTGTAAAGGGATGGGAAAGGGGAGAACTAATCACGAAACAAATTCCTATTTGAAAGCAACAGAATCTCCTCTGGGAGTGACCTCGAGTCTGCACGCGCGCGCACACACGCACACACCCCTCTGAATGAATACGTAAGGGTGGCCACTGGTTGTATATGTGTGCATATACAGCGCTCGTGGGTAAGTAAACTAATATATATGCTGTACACACACACACGCACCATACACCACCGCACAGACGGGGAATCTGGCTTATGCTATCAAAGACACTATGTCTCCAGATTCTAGTGGAAGCAATCTGTCCTAGGTGCCTGCAGCATGCAAAACTTGGAAGATCCAGAGAGTCAGTTAGGCAGGACATTGGGGATACACGGGTATGTTTCCATCCTTGGGGCCCCAGCCCCAGCACGTGAGGCTACTCTTTGTTGGTGACAACAAAGCCTTCATGGAGGGCTCCCAGGGCAGTGCAGAGGAGTTGGGGGCCCTCCGTCCAGGGGTGGGCCCACGGGAGCCCTGATGAGTTCACCAATCTTCAAGGCAGAGCTGAGAACTCTGATTTTCAAGTGTGTAGTCCTGAAACAGTATTCTTTGGGACAGCGCGGCAGATCGAGGTGACAGTTCCTGTCTCGCTCACTCTCTGCAGCTCCCCACGTGTGCTAACGCATTTTGTAGTCATTAGATACAGATGTTTCACACAGCTGTCCCTTAAAATCCAAGTCTACTGTGAAATCGAGGTCTCGCTGCAAAAAACACCAAAGATCAGTAGTCGGGGTGGGAGCCACAGGCGGGGCGGCTACAATGTTCTTAAGGTTTTCTAGCTAAGGAGCTGCCACCAGTAGCCTCAGGAACCTCTCCGGTGCCTCATTATCCTCACGGGAAGTTCTTTGATTTCTAACCTAAATCCTTCCTGTTCTAATATAAAAATGTTCCCTCTGATTTCATCTAGAGAGAAAACAGAGTGCAGTGGTTGAGTCTTCCGTGGCATAACCCTCAAAGCATTTTTAGACTCTTTTAATACGCGTGCCCACCCACTCTGCGGTTGCCCAAAAAGAATGAGGCAGTCTCCAACCCACCGGGCCAGCTGAAGAAATGTGAACCATTCCTTTTCCAGGCCACCAGAAACAGTTATTTCCTGGCCCAGCTCATCCTAAATGACGTAGAACCCCTTTAAGTGACAGCCCCTCCCATGAAGAGCTGGAAGCTGTCTGTCCTTGAGGCTGAGTCCAGAGGGGGCCTAGAGAAAGTTTCTAGTTGCCAAGTTTGGAGGGGCCAAGGGTCGGGTCCTTCAGTTATCCCTAGTCACGTCCAAACACTGCTACCACTGCCTCCCTCAGTGGCTTCTCTGCGCACAGGACACCTAAGGACCCAGGCGAGTGGCTCCGCGGGCCCCTGCTCCCCTCCGAGAGGCTGCCCCAGCACTCACCACGTTTTTGTCATTTGGCTTCATGGATATCGTCCCGTAGATTTCTTCCCCCCTCCGGACAGTGAGGTAATCTTCCAAGTAGAAAACGGTCTGCTTCCAGTGGGTGTAGGGGGCATCGGGGGCTGCAGGGGTGAGGCCAGGAGAGGGGAAGGAAGAGTCAGTGGAGATGTTTCCAGAAGGGCTGAGGCTGGGGCCTGCATAGAGGTTGCTGGGCCTCCCGTGGGACTCACTGAAACTCCACCAGGCCACCATTCCTGCTGGGCCAGGTGCCCAGTCCTTGTAGCCTGCTTCCAAGCCCCCCAGAACCCCCCACTCGGGCCCACTGCCCTCACTTCCCTTCACATTCCCACACCGTCAGGACCGCTGGTCTTAGGTGGAGACCAGAAGAGAAACACGCTGATGTTACAAGCTAGTGCCCAGGACAGGTGACGAATGTCCTTTCACCAACTAAACTCATTACCACAAATGCACCTCAAAATGCAACTGTTTCAGGGCCGGCCCGGTGGTGCACTCGGTAGAGTGCAGCGCTTGGGAGCGCAGCAGCGCTCCCGCCGAGGGTTCGGATCCCATATAGAGACTGGTCCATTCACTGGTTGAGCGCGGTGCGGGCGTGACACCGAGGGTTGCAATCCCGTTACTGGTCACGAAAAAAGACAAAAAGGAAAAAAAATGCAACTGTTTCTGGGCCAGCCCCATGGCGCACTTGGGAGAGTGCGGTGCTGAGAGCGCAGCAACGCTCCCACCGTGGGTTCGGATCCTATATAGGACTGGCCAGTGTGCTCACTGGCTGAGCGCGGTGCGGGCGACACCACACCAAGGGTTGCGATCCCCTTACCGGTCACAAAAAAGAAAAAAAAAAATGCAACTGTTTCTGGTCAGTTCAGCAGAGTGAAGGCTTTCGCACAGCGTGGGGGAGAGATGTGTGGACGAGGCCGTCCCATCCCTGCTCACATGACGTCATCTATGTAACCTCCACGGCTGAACATTTTCCCCAGTGCCACTGGTATGCCATGTGTTTGCTCCTCAGTCCTACAAAGAGCTTTCCCCGCCTGCTCCTCTGTGCCCCGCAACTAAACCCGGAGCCCCGGCCAGGCGTGCTGCGGGCTTTCAGCTGCGCCTTCCCCACTGGATCAGAAAGAAATGAGGGATGATTCTCACGCCATGACCCCCATGCTGGTCCCCGGCTCCCTCACCCTGCATGAGCCAGAGCCACAGCGGTCCTGCGCCTCCCCTGTATTTGCCACTGAATCCCATCCATCCCCTCTCAGCGCATGACATTCCCCAGCTAAACGGGAGGGGTCCTGCCTAATGGGCCATCTTCGTGGACAGCAGCTGTCTTTGGAACACTCTTCCCTCCCCCTTGGCCAGCCTCTGTCTTCCTCATCCTCAGCCTCACCCCCTCTGGGAAGCCCTGCCTGACCACCTAATCCCAGATAAGGGCTCGCACAGCGCCCCGAGCTTGTACAGCGTGATGTTTCCCACGCTGCGGTACAGACGCCTTTTCCCCACTTGTTTGCCTCCTCCACAGATTGCAGTCTTCATGCGGGCGGGGGCGTGCCAGGGGTGCGCCCTGTCCTCAGCACCTGCCACTGTGCTTGGCAGATCTACATGTGCTGAATAAATGAATGATGGTGAGAACCCAAAGAGCAGACCCTGTGATGCTTCCACGTACCCGTAAATGGTCAATTACATTGGGACCTGTGGAATCTGTGATCGTAGAAAAAGCCATTTCATAGCAACTTCTCTTGGTCCAGGCTCTTCCCGGCCTCCACTGGCATTTCCTCTTTGCTTAGGACCAGTGCTAAAATGAGAAGTCTTGGGACATGAGAACATGTTAAGGGTCTTTCAAACACTTCAACAGCTGTCGTACATGGAAAGACTTATATGTGGCCTTATACATGGCTTTGGGGGCAGAACAAAGGCTAGTCTCTGGGAATTACTAGAAGGCAGATTTTTAATTCACCAGGAAGAATTGCAGTTGTCCCATAATTATACAAGCTACCTGAGGCGTTCACACGACCACTGACAGGGGATTTATCATGCACCAAGTCAGACAAGGTGACCTCTAAGATCTTTCAAAACCCCAAGATCTATTTTAATGGTAGTAAAGAGTCTGCCTTTTCTCTGTCCTTTGCAGTGAGCTGGCTTGATCAAATGTCAGTGGTTTGGATAGAGACTCGAGTAGCCCTCAGTGTGTGCATTTGGGAAATCAATGCAAACTCAAGGTCACGGGGAGAAGATTCAGCCTGTGCATTTGGAAGGGAAAGAAGGATCATGAATGTGCAATCTGTGCCTATCAGACCCTGGGTCCCCAAGCGCATGCAGCTTTTCTGGCCCCCAAGGCATACTACTGTCTGCAGACAAAGTGCGCCTGCTCCCACACCCTTCCCTGCCAACTACCTCTAAATTGTCAAAAGATGGTTTCTGGTCGTGTGTGGAGAATATCAGTGTATGACCAAGAGCACTCTCGCCCCCACTTCCATCTACACCAGCTCAGACAGGTGTGTCTCTCCTGTTCCTAAAGGCCTTCAGGCAAGGAGACTCAAGCAGCCTCCTCTGTCACCTAATCACATGCCTTATGAGAATCCCAGAGGCTCAGATTTGCTGGCCATTGAGCCCAGGACTCTGCTTTTGATGGTGGCCCCAAAAAACATGATGGCTTTGGGTTGGAGGAAAAAAAAATTTTTTTCTCGACATCGACATCAAAAGGTTAAGAACTGTCCCAAGCATCAGTTTCCATGATGGGTCCATGGCCGTGGACTAATTGTCTAAACCAGTTTTCTCAATCCTATTTCTCTATCAAAGTGCCCAGGAGATGCTTATTAAACTTTGGATGTTTCAACTCTATTCCAAGAGATTTGAATTCGGTAATCCTGGGGTGTGGGGAGGAGACAGGCCTTCCAAGATTTACAATCTCCCCCCCTAGGCGAGGTAGACACACAGCCCTGGAGGGCACAGAGTGCCTCTCCGGCATCTCTCAGGTAGGAGTCGTGGAAAAGACACCAGGCAAAGCAGGCTCGGCTTCCAGTGTCCGCTCTGCCACAGCCGTGCACAGTGCCGGGACTCAGGCTCTACATCTGCAGGACGTGGTCAGGATATTTGTCTCCTGAGGCCTCGTGAGGGTGAGATGAGATGCAAAGGGGAAGCATCGTGTGCTAAGGTGACCAAGCCTTCTGCTGTGCCCGGGACACTCCAGGGTACATCAGACTTCCTGCATAAAGACTGTTAGCTCTCCCTTTCACCCGGCCTATAGCGGATGAGGCAAGTTAGGGCATCACCGAGCCATTGTGTCAGTAGTTATTTAATCATTAGATAAAGTGGTATATGATTTCATTTATCCATGAACTACAACTCTAGCCTGCAAAGGCATGCTGCCTCACTCTGGTGGTCTAGAATGTTCTGGGGAATCTTCCAGAATGCTGAGCACAAGAGTGGTCCCTCAACAAAGGGCTGTGGACAGCGCCCCTCCCCTGCCCCAATCTACAACCATCCAGATTGTGCAGCTGGCTTTCAGCTTTCCCTATTAGGAAGATGCCTACTATTCTTCATACTCTGGCCCTGCCTGCCAGCCTCCCCCTTCCTCCCTCCATCAAGCCCCCTCCCCATCGCAGCATCTCTGGATTTAGATTATAGACAGCTTCTGTTCTGTATTTTGAAGTGAGCATGACGGTACTGCCCACAGCACTGCAAGCACAGATGCCTGCCTTCATTCATTCATTCATTCATTCATCCATCCATCCATCCATCCATCCATCCAACAGACTTCTATTTAGGATGCTTACCATGTGCCAGGTATGTTTCAAAATTTGGGGAACAGGAACAGAGATGGAGACAGCTTCGTGCGTCCCCCTCCCCTTCTAGCTACCCCCGTTTCTCTGGTAGATCCTAGAGCCTAAGTGTGAAGACCCTCAGGTAAATAGTAATAACGTGTGGTGAGAGCTGGGACCAGGGACAGGGCTGGAAACACAGGAGCACTGGAGTAGAGCAGGGACCTCTCACGATTTTTCCTGGTGCCTTTAAAGGGGAGTGGAGTCCTGCTTTCTGTTTCACCTCCCAGCATCTAAGTGGCTGGTAGTTCTTTCTTGGATATAATAATTTTTCTAGCTGTAAATTTGGAATTATCTTCCCTAGGGGGTTCAAACGCTTTTTGGAGAATTAAAGACTTTGTACCAGGGAGCATCTCTGACCTGAGAAAATCACTCAGAGTCACAGGATGCAAAGCTGGAGAGGGGCTGCCTGAGCCCAAGGCCCAGAAAGTAACTTGCTCAAGGTTCTGTCCAATGTCTGGTCACCCTAACTTGCTGATTCCTGGAAAAACTAGGATGTCAACCCAGACTAAGCAGCAGCCCCAGGGGCCCTGGATTCCACCTCCCAGGTGGGATGTGTCCTAAGGGGTGGGGCGGCTGTGCCTTCGGGCCAGCACAGCCTGTGCCCCTGTGTGACAGCTTCTGCCTGGAGCTGGAGACATCAGAGCCATCAACTGGGATCGTTTTCAAGCTTCACGATGTGAGAAGTGCCTCGGAGCTGGCTGGCCAGGCTGAGACAGGAAACTCAGCTGAGGGCCGATTAAGGGGAGCCACAAAGAGCAGGCTGCGCTTTGCATAAAGTTCAAAAACAGCTGAGACCAAACGATGCCTTGTTTAGGTGCACATGTACATGTGACAAAACTTTTTCAAAATAGTGATGGAATAATTTTGAACTCAAAATTCAGAATAATGTTCATCTAGAGGTGATATGGGGGGATGGGAGGGGATGGAGCATCCAGGTATTGGTACGGGTAGCATTTTAGTCATTGAGTTAGGTGGTGGGCTCACAAGGATTTATTGTATGGATATGAATTAACTTATTTACACTTGTTAATTATAAATATAATCATATGGCATTTATTAACAATGTATCTCTAGCTGATATTTAAAATTAATTTTAAAATAATTGTAATTAAAATTAATTAATTAAACAATTTATTTCTTAATATTAACTAATGTATTTACAATCTAAAAGTAGTGATAAGAAATTTATTTCTAGTTGCTCTTTACATTCTAGTTATTAATAATTTATTTACATTCTAGTGACGGAGTTGGATGGTAAGTTCATGGGTATGCATTATGTCGGTAAATAAGTAAAAAGTGAACCATTCATGGCCCAGTGATGATGGTATGTCAAGAACTAAGAATTAAGATTAATCTAATCCTGTGTACCTGAGATCTTTAAAAACAAAAAGGAATTACTATGTTGGTGGTTAGAGTGTAGACAGTCTGAGTATAGCCAAACCTACATGAACCACTAAAGAAGTCCACTACATGCTGGATCCAAAGCCCCACAATGACATCCCAAAGTGGCTGAGAAACAACCAAACAACTTATCTTTCCCCCGACCTATATGGGAATGCTGCACAAGAGGGATCTATGTCAGCCAGAAGGCATACAGTGTCGGTGAGACCAGAGGGTATACCTTAGCGAGCAAATGGGATCGCCTTTGCAGCAGGGAGTCACCTTGGTCAAATTCTCAACCATCTTGTTCAGGGCAGTCTTGTACAAGCACAGTGGTGCTCGAACTTGAGCGAGCACCGTAATTACCTGGAGGTTTTGTGAAAACACAGATTTCCGGGCCCCACCCCCTGTTTCTGATTCAGTAGGTCTGGAGTGAGCTCCAAGAATTTGCAATGCTAACAAGTTCCCAGGTGCTGCTGCTGCTGGTGGTGGTGGTCCAGGGACCACACTTTGAGATCCACTGCACCAAGGCAGAGAAACAGGGGACTGCGGGACCTCCAACTGTCCTTTCAGAACCTGAGTGTGTGGAGCTCTGTGTAAAGGCATAACGTGATAACTTCTAAAAAATAGAGGAACAGGCTCACACCAGGATTTAGACCCATGGCCTTGAGCGTATGTGGGACTATGGTGGGGGGTGTGGCCAAGGAATAAGAAGGAAATGGGCCAATGGGTTAGAGACTGAGGGCAAATCCTCACCATCTTTCAGGCAGGCCAGAGCTGACTTCTTTGATTCTGGACTTGAGCTTAACCAAGTCTCATCCATGTGGGGTCAACCAAATGTCATCTCTGCAACCACAGAGCCAGGGAGTCATACTAGACAGAGGTCCTGCAGTCGGCTTGGCTTTGGGGACTGGAAATAGATCTCAAGGAAAGGAAAACCTTGCTGAAAGCTACAGGGCAGGAGCTCAGGCTTAGGAAACCCCGAGCTTTACCTGAGTACCCTGCCCCCTGACTTCTCATCACCCGCAGCAGGACAGGCCCTGGGTTAGGCATCATCCTGAGGATGGGAGAGGCAGAGCAAGCCTCTGTGACTCTATCCCTAGCTTCCAGTCATAGCGTGGTCCTCGAGCAGCCTCCTCCTCAGCTCCCTCGCCTTCCCTGCTCCTCACCATCGCTAGGCTGAGTCTTACCCATCCTTCAGGGTCAAAGGACTCCTGCCCGCTGGGAAGAAGAGCTTGCCTACTGCCCCTCTAAGGAGGGCAGAAGCTGATAAGGCCCTGGATCAGGGGTCTCTGGTTTTCCCCAGGGCAGGGCGGCACCAACATTGTCCTGGTTGATGGAGACCAGAAGACCCTGGTCTTGGTGGTCAGGAGACTCTTGTTCTGGAAAAAGCCACTCTGTGAGGGATAAGTTTCTTGCCCCTTCTGTCCACAGGTGAAAAAAGCATCATTGTCATCATGACTTCAGGAAGTGAACAATCACATCCTCAAATTCTGGTGGAACTCATCTCCCTGTCCCCTGACACACATGCTCACTCACCCCCCATGACACGCTCCCAGTCCCCAGGAAGGCTCGCAGGATGGCCAGCGTGAACACACCCCAAGGGCAGGAGCCGAACCACCATCTACTCTGCTAACAGAGACTTGTTCATAACTCGGTTTCAGAAGCCAGCAATGCAGGGATTAATGGGACATGATCCTGCTCATGCAGGAGACGGACGGTTGCAAAACAGAGTGGAGATGTTGAATAAATGACAGCATAGCCCCCACTGGAGTCTTGTGTTTAAAAAAAGAAAGTGGGTGTCTCCGTGAGGTATGGAAACACCGCCAAGGTGTGCTGTTAAAGAAAGAAGAGGTAGCTGAGAGCAGCGTGACTAGTGTGATCCAACCTGTGCGTTTTTAAAAAAAGGTGCGGCTGTGATGTTACACTGCAGCCACGTGAGACGCCAGTGACGGGGCAGCTGGGCAAGGCTCACAGGACCCTGTGCACTGTTCCTGCCACTTCCTGTGCGTCTACGATTACTTCAAAAGAAGAAGAAAAGGTGTGTGTAGATAGGTGTGGGCTCGTGTGCCCACTGACACCTTCTGGGGGACACAAAAGAAACTATTATAATTATAATAATATATAATAATATAGAATAAATAACATATATATTATATAATTATTATTATATATGCCTCTGACGAGTGGGACTGGAATCGAACAGGGGAGAGAATTTTTTCCTTGATTTTTACACCCTTTTGTACTGATTCCTTCTTGTTATTGTGCATGTATGTCACTTTAAACATCACCACGGTAAACACATGCACAGGCTGTTGGGGAACCCTGGAAAGGACACCTAAACTTGACCCAACAGGGAGGGAAGAGATCAAATGACCCCTGCACTGAGAGATGACGTCTGTGCTGGAGTTGGCCAGGTGAGGAGGTGGGGGCAGGGGAGGTGTTATGAGCTGAATTGTGTCCCCCCCAAATTCATGTTGATGTTCTAACCCCAGTACCTCAGAACGTGACTGTGTTTAGAGACAGGGCCAAGTCCAATCTGACTAGTGCCCATATAAGAAGGGGGTCAGGACACACAGAGACACCAGGGATGTGCACACGTGGAGGAGACATGCGAGGACACGGTAAGAAGGTGGCCATCTGCAAGCCAAGGAGAGAGGCCTCAGGGAAACCAGCCCTGCCCTCACCTTGATCTTGGACTTCCAGCCTCCAGCACTGTGAGGAAATGCATTTCTGTTGTCTAAGATCCCCAGTCTGTGATACTTTGTCATGGCAGCCCCAGCACATTAAGACAGGAAAGGAGATGACAGGAAGTTTCTGACAAAGGACCCTGTGTCCCCACGGCACACCCTGGGTTGCCAAGGGTGGAGTGTGCAGAGGCTATGGCCTGGAGACTGAAGGAGCTCAGTGTGGCCGGGCTGAGCATGGAGTGGCAGTGACGGGATGGGGTGGGCCAGGTCACAGAGCCCCCAGTGGCCAGACCGAGACCTTTCGGTGTACCAATGACCGGCAGTGAGGTACCTCCAAAGGCTTACGAGATGTCCAAGAAGGGCCCTGGCTTAGGCCCCAGCACATTCCCCACGTGGAAACCAGTCCCGGTCACGCCCCACAGAGCCTCCAGGGAGTCTGGGGGAGGGGAGGAGGGTCTGGAAAGCCAACACACAGCTCACCTGTGGAAAACCCCATTTTCTTGTGGCACTTGGTAAATTCAATATTAAAATAGGTGACCAGGGCATGGATGTAGTCGTTGCGCTGTATCTGCAGGCAGAACGCAGATGTGAATGACAGCTCTTCTGTCTTCACTGTGTAAATGTCCACCTCCTGCAGCCCAGAGAAGAGAGAATGCCGGAAACTGAAGGCCTCCCCCAGGCCTGGGTCCTGGCCTGCAGCCTCATTCCGTGAGAGACTGCAGCCAGGAGGCTGTCTGGGGGACCATCACTCTGGGGGACCTCCCAGGCCCACTCACCACCCCCAGTCACCTCCTCCATCCTTTCTCAGGTGGAGTATGCTCAGGCAAAGGTGCAAACAGAGTTGAATGAAAACCTGAGGGGAACAGATTCAGGAAGGTGAATCTGCCGGAGGCTGGGGCTGATGGGGGATGGGGAGGAGAAGACAAGGGCGGATTAGACACTGCGCCCCTTAACCCGATCAGAGTGCTCCTCCCGAGCTCTGCTACACTCGTTAAGTCGTCCTCAAAGTGTGGTCCCTGGATGGCCGGCATCAGCGTTACCTGGGAGCAAATTCGAGGGGCAGGGAGGGCATCCCAGTGATCCGCATGAACAGGACTACTCACTTCCCAAGTTTTTCCATATTCAAGTTCCCAGCAATGGGAGTCTGGACTTGAGCTCGCAGAGTCATGGACTGAGCTCAAGGAAGTTCTGCTGACGGTTTATACCAAGACTGGCCAGTTTTTGAAGAATAAATAAAAGGGGAAAATAAGAGGTGGGAATTTTCAGTTCTACCTGGGGAATGTGGAACATGAAGAACTAATAATTTTAACAATTTCAGCTGGAAAGTGGCTGAAAATCAACCTGACGTGGGGAACAAGTGTAATCGAAGACAGTTTGCAATGTTCTGTGATTTTCTGTATGAAGGCTGCTGACCTGCTGTTTCTGGCTCCTGCAAGACAGGGCAGGCCAACCAAGAGCCCGGAGGCATCCAGACAGATTTCAGTGGGGCGCAAGGGAGAGCTCCCCACGTGCCAGGGTGGTGTAGCAAGGACCTCTGTCCTCAAAAGACTGGAAGAGCCAGACATCTTTGTGCCTGGGTGATTCCAGGGGGTCCTCCTGAGACCCGGAAGATGGAATATGTTGGGAGAAATTAGGAGAGAGAGGTCTGAGATTAGGGAGACCAGATCAGCAAAGAGACAAAGTAGCTTTGTAGACATGTCGTTTATCTCTCTATATTTCTAGGACTAATAAAGGAAAAACAGATGCAAAGTATCCTGGAGCCTTTAAGAGAAGCTCTGACTCCACAGGGGTGGTCAGAGGAGGAGGAGGTCCAGGAAGTCGGTCAGAGCAGAGCCCTGCTGGGGCTTGGGGTGGGCCTCCACGATACCCCCTGGGGAAGCCGAAGCTCCGAGCCTCAGTTGGGTAGAGGGTGGGATTGCAAGGTTAGGGGAAAGTGGGAGCCCCTCAGTGAGGTCACTTTCAAATGCAAGTTACACCGTCAGAACCCAGAGCTGGGGAACAAGAGCGTGCTGAATGGTGAGCCCTGGGTCAGGCATGCAGAATTTGAGGGGATCAGGAAGCCCGGACCCTCGAGCCGAGCCTTTCATCCAGCGCAGGAATCCCCTCTGTTGTGGCCATCTAGTGCCTGCTGACACCTTTAGGGACGGTGCACCCACTTAGGGACGGTGCAAGGAAGCTTATCCCATGTCCTGATGTCCTCAAAGCCAGTGAAGACAGTCTCCGCGTGGCTCCCACTTGCGCAGTCCACTAACCCTTTGTTTCTCCCTCGTACACCACTGCTGGCCTTCCATTTGTCTCTCATATGTCCCACCTTCTGACCCCACCATCCTGGCCTTTCTCCTCCAGGGCCACCACGTTCAAAACCAAGTGTAGGGCCGGCCCGGTGGCGCACTGGAGAGTACGCCGCTTGGGAGCGTGGCAGCGCTCCCACCGAGGGTTCGGATCCCATGTGGTGACCGGTTCCCGCTCACTGGCTGAGCGTGGTGCGGGCGTGACACCGAGGGTTGCGATCCCGTTACCAGTCAGTAAAAAAGACAAAAAGGAAAAAAAAAAAAACCGAGTGTAATAGGTCCCTCGCCTCCTTGTCTGGTGCCCACTTCTAGCAGCCTGTGGTCTCAGTGAGCCCACTGTTGGCTCATACCGCATTTAGGCCCACCAGCCCCTTGTCCCCTCCTCCCTCGAGGGTGGGGGTCCTCCATTCCAGGCCCTCTGTTGGTCTGGCCATTGCTTCAGTCTGGGAAACCTTCTTAGTAGCAAGCAGCCTGCAAAGTGTCCATTGTCCCTCACAGCCACGTGAGGGCCACAGGTTTTCTCCAGCTCAGGGACTCCCAGAGCAAGCCTTGGACACCTGTATTTCTACTGACGGCATCAGCACAGGGCTCACGATGTCTACACTCGCTGACTTTTCCATCTTCTTCTTAGTCAGGGCCGGCCACAGTGCTCTGTACCCTGTCATAGGTCACTGGTAGCTTTCTCTCTGTCTCCTCAGCCACCAGCCCTGCCTAGCCCTTCCACCCTGCTTCTGGCTCGTCTCAGCAGCCTCACCTCCACCCTCACCTCTGCCATTAGACTGGAGCCCTTTCGGGGCAGAAGCTGCACCTCATTGGTCTGTGTTTCCTCAGCGGATAACACAGCACCTGATACACAGCAAGCTCCGGGTACAGGTCTCCCTGCCTGCGGACTTTCCTTCCTTCCCCAGGCCTCCGCTTCATAACCACCAGTTGACTAATCTCTTTAAGGCCGATTCAGACTGAGTCGCTCCCTGGGTCTGCAGCCCTCAGTGACTCCCTCTGGCTTTCCATCTAGCCCTGGTTACTTTCTGCTCCTAGCTCTCCCCGCCCCTCTTCACCACTTCAGCACACGCATACACAGGCACACACGCGTGCACCACCCCATCTAGCAGGACTTCCGTCTCTAGAGGGTCTTGCTCTCGGATGTCCATCAACCAAACGTCAGCTGTCATGTCTTGCATTAGCTGACAGCCTTCAATAGGTCCTAGAGACATTTCCATCTTGATAGGGACTTCTGATGGAACAAAAGCCTTTGAGACTGAAAGTAAAGAAGCTGCACATCACAGCGGCAACAACCAAGGTCTTTCGCTGTGAGGGTCCAGGCCATCTGTGAGGGTGGCATCACCTGCGGTTGGGCTTTGGACACACAAAGGCCCTCCATGCTCAGGCCCACCCCATTCTTAGACCCAAAGGCCACAGCTCGGCCCCAGTTCTCCTGTCGCCCCAGAGCCCAGCCCCCTTTGCGGGCAGGTCTCCTTCTTCCTGCAGCAGCAGCAGCAGCAGCAACTGAGACCCCAGGGGGACCCGCCGACTTGGCCTCAGGCCACACCATGAAGCAGAAGGCTTCACCGCCATGAACTGCTCACAGCAGCCCCTGGTCACTGCTATCCCCACCACTAGATAATGTCACCAGTGGATGTCTCGGAGCAGAAGTTTGGTCAAAGCAGAGTCTTCATTAGAATAAAGTGTCACACTCTGCAACGTTAACAGCGACGAAAACAGCAATTAAGTCAGTGAGGAAGGCCAATGCTTTCCCAAGGGGCTGGGCAAGCGCTGCTTAGCACGTCAGTGTCAGCAGGAGAGATAGGGGCCCCGGCCAAGCCCAGCCACCCTCGGCTGCTCGGAAGGTGCGGACAGGAAGGAGGTCACGGCCAGGCAGGGGCAGGACGCTTCGAGGATTTTCAGTCCTGACATAACAGAGCCCTTGGGAGCTTTCTTAAGGGTGTGGGTAACACACATGCCTCCTGTCCCTCCTTGATAAGTTTGGCTGCTTTGTGCTGGACACACTCAGGTGTGACCAAGGGAAAGACCCTCGCTGGTTCCTGTCTAGGAGTCAGGAGAGGAAGGAGGGAGACCAGTGTGGCCTGGGGCATAGAACCTGGCCAGTCCATGAGGTGAGCCCCGGTACACAAACAGAATCACAGAGGCCACACCTGCAAGTGGGGGCAGCGCCAGGGGCACAAGACAATATGGGGTCCAAGAACATCAAAGAAATTTTATCCCCAAGCCGAAGCCACTACATGCAGGTGCCTACTGGTAGATATAACTGCCACGTGCCATTTTGGCAAATCCAATTGCACCTGTCAACTTCTGCTCATTTCCGGTATTTACAGAAATGTTCCGCACCGCAGGGGAGCTTCCCGTCAGCGGTGTGCTTGCCCTGTCCTTGTTCGGGGCATCAAGAAGAAGAGGCTTCAGGGAAAGAGGGGCTGGTGGCAGGAAGAAATACAAGGACATGTCTGTGCACAATTCATCCTGCCTGGACTCGGAATAATCTGAGTTAAGGAGTAGTGAGAAGCCTGTGAATGGAGAATCTAAGGCTTAAACTCGAAGGCAAACCTCTTAGGTAGGACGTTACAAAAAGAGGGAGAATCTGATGAGACCTGTACGAGGCTCATCCAGTTTTATTTGCCCTCAGAGGTCCCTTCTAAACAACATAGTGATGCCCTGGACCACGGGCTGAGTTCTCCCTAGGAAGGCTCGTGTCCAGCGACAAAGGACAGTTCAAACCCAGGCAAAGCAGCCGTTTGTTACAGTCCTTCAGAAACTTCCCCTCATCCTTGGTGGCCCTGATCTCTTTCTCTTTTTCCTACTATAAATGCCACCCTAGGGCCGGCCCGGTGGCGCACTGCGCTAGTGCGCCGCTTGGGAAGCGCGGCGGCGCTCCCACCGAGGGTTCGGATCCCACATACAGACCGGTTCCCGCTCACTGGCTGAGCGAGGCGCGGGGGCAACACCGAGGGTTGCGATCCCGTTGCCGGTCCCGGTCCAGTGCGGGGACGACACTGAGGGTTGCGATCCATTGCCGGACACGGAAAAAGACAAAAAATAATAATAATAATAAATAAATGCCACCCTAATACTTTCAGGGAAAAAAAAAAGTGATGCGTACAGGGCCAGAGCAGGCAAGTACGTTTCAGCAAGATGAGGGTCAGGTGGGCTGATGAATACTTCCATAATGAACCCATGCTTTTAAATTGAAAAATGAGCTTGAACCGCACGAAACTGATGTTTTTCTATATTAAAAGTCAAATATCAGTAGTTTTATATGGTTCAGTGTGATGTATTAGCATATATAAATGCAAATACTTAGAAAAGGACAGGAAGGATCAATCCAAACTGAACGGTGGTTACCTCTGGGAGGAGCGTGGGACTGGAAGGGATGGGAGAAGGTAACTTGCACCTTTACTCTACCTAACTAGGCAGGTTCAAATATTTAATAATGTTGGAGTGAGCAGTACGGAAGCCATGCTGGGACCTAAAACCACATGGGCTGTAGGCAAATTTTTAAAACACACTTTCTTGGCATGCATTTCTCTGAGTTTCCTTTTTTCCCATGGTTATTTGACATTTTGGACCTGGGTTATGGAGCAAGATGACACTATTGACATGAATGTGAAGCTGTTTTCCAGCCGGACTGAAGCTGCAGACTCGCACGTACTACCCAGACCCCGAGATAAGGGGGCGAGCAGAAACCAGATGAGTCTTGGCGGGACCTTGCCCCTGGTTCCTTGCATGAAGCCCTCGCGGTTCACGTGCCCTTCTCTCCTGCTTTTCATTTCCCACATCCATTCCCTCATCGCCCTCCCTAAAGACCCCTCAGTAGACCCGAGTCTTTGAAATGACTTTAGTCTGGCCGTTCTCCTCCCGGTTTGCTGGAGACAGGGGTTAGCCTCACATCTCTCCTCAGGTCACCAGTATTCCTGAATAAAAGCTCACTTCCATTGTCACCAACATTTGACTTTGTTTTTTCATCTGGGGGGAGGTAGCCAGACCTGTGAGCTTGGTATCAATTTTGGGGTGCCTCAGCCAGGAGCTGAGTGGCCCCTATAACAACAGTAAGAGTGCACGAAGGACTGGCGTGGCGGGGATGCTGGCCAGCTGTTCTCCATCTGCACTGCAGGCGGCCTTGGAAGAAGAGATGCTTAGAGCACGTGCCAGCAAGAACGCTCAGGAAGGGGTGCTGGAAGCCCTGTCTGGCCGGGTCAGATGGACGCTAGGAGGGGACGGCAATGACGACTGATCACACAGCATATTGACGTATCAGATTTCTTTCCTAAGAGGGACACCCACCTCTGAATGGACCGGCTTCCCCAAACCTGAGCATACCCTCCTGCCCCCAGGGTGTTCTCCCCTCTAAAGTCCCTCCCCCTCCCCACTCCCCCCGCAAGGGTCCCTGCACTGGACCCCTCCCCTCAGCCGTGCCACCGTGGAATCATTCTCTCAGTGGCTCTGCTCAGTGAGAGTGCCAGCTTTTGACTTGTCACCATGGAGTGCCACAAGTTCTGGCCAGGGCAGCCTTGCCTCACTAGGCTGGGGCCGTGCAGGAGCTGGTGTTGCCTATACTCCAGGCCCACCCCAGCCTGGCTTTCCAGAGTGGCACAGCTGGGTTCCCAGCACACCCAGGCCCAGCCGTGATGAGTCTCCAGACCTTTATCAAACAGGCATTGGTCACCACTTGCTTTGGATCCACGATGTCCACCAGGGGCTCCTTCATGGCGACGTCCCGAATACAGGTCATGTCAAAGCCATAGACATTCTCCCACCCTGCGGGAGCAGAGCAAGGCGTCAAGGCAGGCATCAGGTCCCCTGCAGCTCACCCATCCGGGTACTAGAGCACAGTGCGCCCAAGAAGGTGACAGGCAGCCGATGTCCCATGCATCAAAACAGGGTGGGAACCACTCTCCTGCACAGGCAGCTCCGCAACGTGCCAAGTGCTCGTTCGCATTTTCTCCTTCGTTCCTCTACAAAAGCAGGTCTCACTTTATGCTGAGCTGAACTGGAGTTCAGAGAGGCTGAGCAAATTCTCCAAGTTCACACAGCTAGAATGCGGCAGGGCTGAGACTAGACCCAAGTGACCTGACTCTTTCCGATATCTGCTTTCCTGTGCCCTCCCCAAGCCAGCAGGCTCCTGTGAACTCCCTTACCTGCCATCGACATTTCTATTTCTTCGTCTTTGCTCGAGCTGTTCCCCACACCTACAAGGACCATCTCTCTCCCTTCTCCCATCCCCACCCCCTGAACCTTTAGTGCAGCAGAGGGGGAAACATGGGCTCTCAGAGTGAAATAGGCTACAGTTTGAATCCCAGCACCACCACTTATCGCCTGGCACTGTGCAAATTGCCTAACTTCTCTGAACCTCAGTTTTCTCAACTGCATGGGTCCAGGACAGTCCTCCCTTCCTTAAATGCCATGATGCATTTATTAAGTGTCCGTCTCAGAAGAAATAACCCCCAATGGGGCACAAACCATCCCAACTGTCCTCCTTGGCCTCTCTGGGCTACTCATAAGATGCTTTGCTTGAGAGGGAGAAAGATTTAGGGTGGATGAGTTGGTGAGTAAATGAGTTCAAGTCTGATGGCCCAAGGTCATCCCTACACAATGGCAATAATTGCTATTATTGATTGATCACCTAGTCCAGGCCAGGCTCTTCATTTAATCTACCCAGCAACCCCATGAGGGCACCGCTATACTACAGATGAGAAAACTGTGGCTAGCTCACACACAATATCTGGCCCAGAATCACACATCAGGGAAACAGAAGCTGCGGCTGGAGCCCTGCCTGTCCCCCCACCCTTCTGCTGTGCTGACCTGCTGCAACAGCAACCAGGGATGCAACGCTCTCTCCCCAGTGCACAGAGAGTGGCCTTGCAGAGTCTTTAGTCACTGGGCAGCTGAATTGCATTTATCTGTTTATTCAGATGGGTTTAGAAATGCCTTGAAGTAGAGATGCTTTTCTCTAAAATCTTATGGGATTAAATTTTCTTTATAACATTCATTAAACAAATGGTCCCTTAGGGAACTTATGTCCCCGTAAGCGTTGAGGAGTGCAGTGTCTAAGCGGGGAGGTGTGAACGTCAGTGAAAGCTTTGCTCCTTTGGCTCAGATTCTTTTCTAAGGTACACAAAGACCTTCCTTGGGGAAAAGAAGGCAGACAAAGTAATCATCTCTCAGAGGGCGAGTGCTTGTGAAATTCTGGCTTGAGGATAAGATGCCAGGCATATACCATTGTGGGTTTCAACTGGAGCAAGGAAGCTGCTCAGTGGGCAGCAGGATCGGCTTCAGAGAAGACCCCCTTCTAGAACGTGGAACTAGCTCTCCATCCTCTCCCAGATAAAGTGGACATACAAAAACATGTTGTCTTCCGTTGAAAACCCTTCCTTAGGAGACCTGCAGCCGTGCACCTGCTCCTTCCCTCCCCAAACCCCTCCTTAAGTTTAAGTTCAATGCAAGTGTTGGGAAAAAACCTGGAGCTGATGTATGTAATGGCTCAAGACCTGGGCTCTGGAGTTCACATCTGAGCTCTGCCATCTACTTGCTGTGTAAGCTTAGGCAGGAACGTAACCTCTCTAAGCCTTGGATTCTTCTTTAAAATGAAGACCATGATAATGGCCATCCCATAGGGCTATTATGAGCATTAAATGTCATAAGTGCAGAAGATAGTGCCTGGCACATAGAAAGTACTTGATCCATAATAATTATCATTATGTCGTTTGATATCTGGGCTTTGCTGCCATCCAAGCTGAGTGACCATGTGCAGAGCAATAATCCCCTTCTCTGAGCTTAACTGTAAAATAAGGATTTTGGTTCAGTGGCTCTGTGTTCTAGAATCATCTGGGAGACTTTTAAAATGCAGATTCCTGTGCCCAAGCCAGAACTACCACATCAAAATCTCCAGATTTGGGACCCAGGAAGCTGGATTTTTATAAATCTATATAGTCTGTTTCCAGAGTTTGGAAACCTTTGGGGTACGTGATCTTTAAAGTCTTTTCCAGTCCTCAAATGGTGAGCTTAAAGTCTCATGGCCTCTGTGAAACCCTCTCCAAACACTCCTGACCACAGGAGTATCCTCAGCACCTACAGCACAGTGTTTGGCACAGTACAGGCCCACAGATAATGCTTTTTAAATTGAAATTTATCCCCAGATATTTAATGCCTGGAGTGCTTTGCAGTTCCTGGCAGTTTAATTACCTTTATAAGGGTTAATTTATGTCTTATCTCCCCAGCTAAAGGGAGATAAGCTAAGACTGCCCCCCCTTCAGTTATTCAGGGGACAGATTATCCAGGGCATTAGATTTTTTTCACCTTTCTGCTGACCCTTCTTATCCTTCTAGCCCCTTCTACCATAAGTGGAGCAGAGATGGGAAAGGATACAACTCAAACACATCAATTTTGTGTTGCAATTATGTACTGTCTGTTGAATGAGTAAATGTGGGGAAGAGCCATTGGCCATAAGAAATATTGTTATTAATTATCTAAAGATTAAAAAATGTCAGAGAGGCCTGCGATTCTTTTGTTTATGGACTAAAAAAATCTCCTAAAAAGAACTGCACAACGGTACCATGAATGTAACTAAAGCAACAGCAAAGTCCAAATCTATCATAACTACAGACTGGATTGACTCCACCCCAATTCTAATAGCCTGGCAGAGTAAAAGGTTCTTTTCTGGGCATAAATGTTATTCACCTGTCTCTGCTCTTCTTTTACTCACAATGTCCAGAATTAATAAAAAATCACAAGACTCGTGAAAAAGGAAAAAAGTATGACCTATCATCAGAAGAAAAAAACGATCTCAGGATCTGACTCAGAGGTAGCTCAGATGTAATTATCCAACAGAGACTTTAAAATACCTATAATAAATATGTTAAAGAATCTAGTGGAAAAGGTGGACAACATGCATGAACAGATGGAGAATTTCATTACTGAGATGGAAACTATTTTTTAAAAAGCCAGTGGAAATGCTAAAAATCAAAATCACAATATCAGAAAGAAAGAATTCTTTCAGTGAGCTTATTAGCAGAATGTATGCATCAGAGGAAATAATCAATCAACTTGAAAACAGGTCAATAAAAATATCCAAACTTAAACACAAAGAGAAAAAAAAGTTATTAAAAAAAAGCATCCAAAATCCATGGACAATATCAAATGAAACAATATCTAAAATATGCATAAGATATGTTTCTGAAGGAGGAGATGATGAGAAGCAGGCAGAAAAAAAAATTGTAGAGATAATAGCTGAAAAACTTCCTAAACAAATGAAATAATCAACCCACAGATCCAAGAATTCCACAAAATTCCAAATAGGATAAATATGAAGAAAAACAAAACAAGATGCATCAGAGTCAAACTGCCAAAAATCAAAATAAAGTGAAAAATCTCAGAAACAGCCAGAGAAAAAGAAACATGAAGCACCAGGAAACAAATTTAACCTCTTGCTGGACAGAGCTGTAGCGACGCCCTCCCTCCCCACCCTGGCCCCAGCGATTTGCGTTTCTCTGCTAGGGCTGGTGGGACTGCCTAAGAATGCCACAGAAAAACAGCATGTGCCTCCAGGTGCCACCTCCAGTTTCTCCTCTAGGCAGAAGGGAAGGGGCTTATGATAATTTCATATAGTTTAGGCTCTCAGCAACAAACTCCACTCCTTGCATGAAATGAGCTACAGCCAGAGAGCAGAACTCTGCATGTTGGGGGTGGAGGTGGAGGGAGACCCATGGACAGCAAATGAGCCCTCCAGGAGGCCCACTGCAGCCCTCCAGCTGCGGGTCTTCCTTCAGACTTCTCACCAGCCAGGGAGCTGGTGCCCACCCCGGGCTCTCAGCAGGCTGGAGATTCATGCATTGGGTCTGAAATTGAATACAATACCCACCAAGTGTCCTTCCAAGTTTGAGATCCTATAAATCTCCCCTATGGTAGAAAATTTTCAAATGATTACTCTTCTCTCAGAGTTCAACACTGCACCTGGCACATTCCTCTGTGGATTACTTTTACTCCTTCATTCATTTTTTCATTCATTCATTCAACAAAATATGTATTGTGAGCCTAGTTATGCCCGTCATTTATCTCTCTTCCTATGAAAATTGCACTGGGAATCACGAGAATAAGGCACATGATTTCCAGTCTGGAGCTAGCACCAGAGTAGCAGCAACTGCTCCCTCGGCTCCTCTCAGGACCCACCCCCACCCCCGACATTTGCAACCCCAGAGGCTCCCAAACACAGTCCAGCGGAAGGCATGCTTGTTTTGGAAACCATGAGGAAGTTTCTGAAAGAGCCGTGCCTAGGGTTGGAGCTCAATAAATATTTAAGTGGGTGTGCAAATAAAGCCTGTGTCTGGAAGTTCTCCTCGAAACACTGTTGAGTGCACGCACACCCAAGAGCTCCAGAACATGGCAAAGTGTGTCCTGTCACACACGCGTTTGATCAATGCCGCTGTTCAGCTGTTTCTGCTGTCTGCCATGAGAGTGCATCTGTCCTAGTTTCTAAGCCACCAGAGACCAACAAGTGTGGCATCAGGACAGTTCACAGTGCCACAGGTAGAAAAGGGCCTAGTTACAGCTTCAGAAACTAGATCCAGTCTAGTCCTGCGTAGACCCAGGAGCTCCCGTGTCCTTCAATACAGTAATCCTCACAGCAACTCTATGGAATTGATGTCATCTCTGGCTGAGGCTCAAAGATGTTAGGTAGTGTGCTGAAGGTCACCCAGTTAGGAAATGGCAAAGACAGGATTTAAACCCAGGGCAGGCAGACTTCAAAGCATTTAGCCTAGGCCACCTGCCTCCCGTTGCTCTGATTTGGAATTTTGCATCCTTCCCTCCTTGAAGGTCAATGATCAGAAATCACATCAGATTGGCTGGAGGCCCACAGTGATCCAGGAGGCTTTTCAAGGGCACCGAGCCTCAAACAATGGTCCCATTTCTGTCTTCTTCTGAGCCTGGCTCTGAACTCCATGCTTTGATTTCATGTTTCCAGAAGGGGGTGAACGCACACCCACAAATATACCTGTTGCATAGCACAGTCCAGTTGAAGCACTAACGACAATTAGACGGCAGCTGTCAGAGCTACTAGAGCTACCATCTGCTGCACTGTGGGGTCCAGGCCTCTCAGGGCAGGAGGCGCTCACTGCTCTGTTCGGTCTGAGACTCCCTCCACAGAAACTCCCAAGTAGGGCTGGCCCTGTTGGGACAGGAACCCCAGGTCTGCTGATTCTGCTGGAGCGCTGGGAGCATCTGTCTCTTGTTTTGGTTCAGTCGTTTGTGAGCTTGCTTACTTGAAGGGCTCCTGCTCCTTCGTTGTGTTTGGTACTAGTTGAGGACACAGGGCTGTGTCTAACCTTATGAAAATACGTTTGGTGTAATCTCATTAAGGACCAGGCCTGTCACTGAGAAATGCTAACTTTAGATAAACTAGTATAAAACAGTCTTTTCCAGACCAAATCAAACATTGGAGAGTTTCTTGTGGGTTCATTTTTTCTAAAAGAACCACATGTTTTTAGCTGACAAGGCATTATGAATACACATGTACATATGAGTCCCCTTCTCCCCACATGTGCACACACACGCATACGCACGTGCACACACACACATACTATTTCCTTCACTGTTCAAAGCAGCCTTCACCCCTCCCCACCCCCACTGCTGTCCATTCTCCCAAAGAACCTCAGAGAAGAATACATATTTTACTTAATGGGAGGAAAATCAATATTATTTGGATAGGTACGAGTGGTATGAAGGCAGGATTCAAAATGACTGGCCTGTCCTGCCATTTCTGACCCTCGTGGTGGACTTTTGGGATAACTGAAGGTCTCCAGCCACTTGTCCTGCTGTTCTCTGCAAAAACTCAGCTTCTGCGGCTTTGATTCATTCTTCACTCGCATGCATTCATTCTCTCACCGTGGGACATTCATCTTACACTGACTGCATTGCTTATTTGCTCCCTGTAGACCTCCTACCCTTGGGACTAGAGAGAAATATTTAGAGAGAAGAAACCAGAAAGGGTCACAGATAAACTCCTCCATGGGAATAGCACCTGTGTTCATGACACTGGCTGCTCATCTCAAGGCCACTGAAGTGCCTCCCACCCACAATGTGCAACAGAAGCCCAACAGAGGACTAAAGGTGACTTACAGTGGATTTTGAAGTCCTTGTACTGTCTGTCTTCAATTGCTACCACGTACAAAGCTGCCCGGTCTGGAAACATAAGCCCTCCAGGTTTCTGTTGATGAATTGTGGGGAAATGGGTGTCGTAATCTATTCACCTGACAAAGACATCACATTTTGAACTGCACATAGAGTCACCAGATAAGCACCCCTCGCCAGCATTTCTTACTCAGTGGACTGTCATGTGGCTAGGGGTAGGGCTAGGACAGCAATGCTCAGTTTTTATTTTGGGGCAAGGAGTATTTGAGGGACCTAGGTGGAGTCAACGGAACCATGATGCGGGGTACAGGTAAGTTCAGTGAGGAACAGTGAAAGATGTTATGACTTTCAGCCTGCAGAAGCCAAGCTGAACAGCACTCTGCTCTCTGGCAACCATGCACGTCCTCAGTACTTGTTGACCAGAACAGACGTTCATCTTGGCAGGAGAGGATGGGTGTCAATTACAGCAAAAGAGGCCAAGGTGAGACCTAGAGAGGTCCATTCTCACAGCTAGACATGTTGGACCTAGGGATGATCATTCTGTCCCCTGAAGCAGATCTGCTTTAAAGGGAGAAGCCCAGGAGAGGTGACCTTCTAGCCCAAGTCCCCTCTGAAGTCTTTATATCTTTCCTAGGCTGCAGGCCGTGGGTAGAGCAGCTAGACAGCCAGCAGACCAACAAGAGGACAGCATGCAGGACACTTACCAGCCACTTGTCCCTGGCAAAGATCACCGTGTTGAGCATGGACTCGTAGAACAGACAGTAGCCCATCCACTCGCTGATGATGATGTCGACCTTCTCCACAGGCAGCTCCACCTCTTCCACTTTACCCTTAAATATGGTGATGACTGGAAAATAAGAACCCCAAGGCCACTGCAGGGACCCCACCTGGGAGCCATGAGCACCCCACTTGACGGTTGTGTCTACAGGTTTTAGCCCCGTTCTGATTCTACTTCTAGGAGGTGCCATAGCTGACCCTTCACCAAGAGAGCTTGCACTAAGATAACTGAAAACTGTTTGCTTGTCCCCGCTAAAGTGTATTGAGCAATTACTACACGCCTGGCAGTGTGCTAAGACCATCCCATGCACTGTGTCACATAATCCTCCCAGCAAGCCTACGAAATAAGCATATTCTTACTATTCTCATTTACAACTAAGGAAACTGAGGCTTAGAGAGGTTAAAGAGCAGCAGTGGGAACAGACCCCAGGCCTAATATGATATGACTCCAACCCTGCTATCGTGGTCCCCACCCCATGTTAGGCTGCCATGATGATTCACACCCAAAGAAAGCAGGCACGCCTCCTCTTCTGCTCTTGCCACAGTTCACAGCCAAGGCTCTGGTGTTTCTGCAAGAGCGTGAGCGCTGCAATCAGAGAGACCCGGACTTAAGTGCTAGAACTTCTAATTATTATCCATACGACTTTACACAAGCCAGTTGACCTTTCGATCTCTAATTCCCCAAAGAACAAGGGAAAGTAATGTCTACTTAGAGGGTGGCTGTATTGATTAAATGAAGTAACACATGTGCGGGGCAGGCCCACAGCTGAGGCTCAGCAGAAGGTGACATTATCTGACACATTCCTCCTTATTGACTGATGGAGGGAGAGGGGAAGGGGAGGAGGCTGGGATAAGGCCCCTGTGCTAAGTGGCCTCAGCTCGTGAGTCACTTCCAAGAACTTCAGGTCCCACTGTGGTAGAACTTCTTAGTTGGGTTTTTGATCAATTGACATAGACATACATATAATTTTGGAGTCTCTTTTTGAATCCGTTGCTGTAAAGATCAGAGCAAAAGCTATCTTAGACACAACTGTTAAATTGACAGGGTGATGTATGGGTTGGCCGGTTCCTTCTGAACATTTCCTCTGAAAGGTTACAAATATTCATGATCCAAAGTTCTTATTCTGCAACATCCTCTGAAAAATCACACAAGGCCTGAGATTGCTGGGAAAATTGAACAACAGCATGTACATAGTTGTAAAAACACAAGAAAACCACATCCATCTTGAATCCGAGTTTCATGAAAATTAACTTGAACTGGGGCTCCTAGATGGCAAAAGGCACACAGTTCACTGGCTTTTTCTAGCGTCTTCACACTGCATAATGCAGGTGACGGAGTGCCCATTAGCAGATTCTAATGCCGGTCAGCTCTCTACTATCTGGTATTTAATCAAGGTTCAATCAGATACAGCCTCCACCATAAAGGGTCAGACACTTTGTACACCTACATTGGCCTTGGTCATTGTAGAGTGAGGCCCAGGCTTGTGTGGCCCTCCTGCTTACTGCTCATGAGCTCCTACCCCTAAAGAGTAAGAGCAGGAAGGGCTAGTCTTCTCCAAAAGGTTTGGGAGCGGGGAGGTATAGATGTTAAGGCTCCGTTTCTCTGGGGCTCTGAGACCGCAGGGCAGGAACTCAGCTGAGAACAGGGACCAGGGTGCAACAAGAGAATTCACAAGGGGACAAAGTGAAGAATTTTTGAAAATGCAAACTTAGTGCCTAATTTATTTCTTATTCTGAAAAAGAACTGACAAATATATGCCTGACCCTCCTGCCTGATCATTTGCATGCAAAATCTGGCTTGTCTTATTTTTGTAAACACTTAAAAAGTGGTTTTAATGGCCTTTTCTCTTTGCACATTTTTGAAGCGTCTTCCCTAATGTCTGCATGCGTCTGTGCAGATGTGGATCAGTTCCTCCTCGTGCATTAGATCATGACCTCCTGCAGCCCAGGAAGTTGTCTCCTCCTGCCTCTGCATCCCCAAGACCTTCACCCTGGGTGTTTGGTACAAGCCTCCATTTATGACAGTTTCATGGACAGGACTCCATTAGGAGCTGCGGGGAACAGATGGGCAGGCACTTACAGGCTGGTCTGATGAACAGGCATGTTACAGAACATTCCTCAGGTGCCCCCAGAGTGAGTGAATGCTGCCCTGTTCTGTGTGCTGGCCTCTTCTCCGTTAGCTGCTGAATCCTGACCCATATGGGTCACAACAGAAGGACAGAGGATGGCTAGACTGATGGGTAGATGACCGATGTCAGACACAAACCTACAAGGCCACTTCAAAAAGTCAGTGGAAAATGGAATTAAAAGAGAATGCAAATCTTTCCATGAACTTTTTGAAGTCCCCTCATACATACATACATACAATGGGTCACAGAACAGTAAAAATCACAGTTTCTGCTTGCAAAAAAAGCAGTCAACTCTATAAAATGCTCAACAGTCTAGATTTCTGTTCATTTAATATCACCCTTCTGCATCTATTCAAGTGCCAACATTTCTGGGAGTAGACATGGTCCCACACTTGGCTTGGTGAGTAGACAGGCCCTTGGTGAAAGGAAAAAGACACACCTCCCTTCGGTCCAGTTGTGGACTGGATTTCAGACCCCATTCATCCCCTCGCCCAGGTGCTTCCGTGCAGTGCCCAACCTGCACAACTTTATGGGTCCTGGAGGCAGCGACTTATGCTCTTGTTCCAGCTGACAACTAACCTTGATCAAATAGCTCCTCTCCTTTGGGAGCTCAGTTTCCTCATTAGAGAAAAAAGAAAAAAAAAGGAGGGAGATCAAATCTGAAATAACTTTTCAGCGCCAAAATGATTGATTCTTCAAACATGTACTGAGCACTTGCTATGTGTGAGGCATTCTGTGAGGTCTACTGGTAGGGACAGCTGACAACAAGAAAGTGGTGCCTGCCACGTACTGTCTGATTCTAATTTGCAACACTTTCCTGGAGCCTGATATTTTTTAGAGGCCGCACTGTCTCTATGGACCCAAATGCAATTGTCCGGCCGAATCATCAGGGATTGTCCTCCTGTTGTCTGTAGTCACCACCAGCAACCACTTAAACTCCCAGATTCAATTTCCCAATCCGCAAAATGCTACCTCTCATGGTGGGGTTTATGCCAATTCATTAGGGGCTATTGGCCAACATATGGCATTAGGCTGGCTCAAAGAACTGTGTGGGTACATACAGCGCCAGTCTTCCCTTTTCCTCCAGGTCCAGCTTTCTCAAGGTAGTCTAAGCCACTGATATTAAGATTCTGAGCACCTCTGGGCTGCAGAATCCTATGCCCAAGCTGGACCCCAAATCACTAAAACTGCAGCAACTCACAGTTGCATGGAGCTGTGTTTTTATTCCATAAAATGATGGAAAGTTTGTTCATCTAGCTATGACAGGACCCTGGCTAGTAAATTTTAGAAAGATTAATCATAACTAAATGCCCAACAGGGAGCAATAAACTCTAAGTTGGTAGCTTCAAGCTTGCAAATTATACATCTATTTTTTTTTTTTTTTGTATGTTTGGTAGGATTTTTTTCTTTATGGTTTCAGTGGTTATTACAGAAATCTCATCATTCTGATTAAAGGTCATTCGTGTAGTTTTTTGTCTTCCTTTTTTTTTTTTTGTCTTTTTCCATGTCCGGCAATGGATCGCAACCCTCAGTGTCGCCCCCGTACCGGACCAGGGACCGGCAACGGGATCGCAACCCTCAGTGTTCACTATTGTGTCTGCTCACAGGGGAAGGAAGGGCACTCAGGGAGGCCGAGCAGTTTGCAGGGGTCCCGCGGCAGGCCTCGGTTGGGCTCTGCTGTTTGATTTCTGTAAACTCCAGTTCTCTCGTGAGGCAAATGGAGTGACGGGACCAACCACGCATCCCTAAGAGGATCACTGCGATAACATAGGCACACGCGCTCTGCCAGCTGCTGTCCAAATGCTGGCAATTTTTACTCTCATGATTAGAACTCGTTTGAAGATCTTTTGTCTCTTAGCCCAAGGCCCTGTTTTTTGAAATTTTGAATGTCTGTGAAGAACCAAGTGCTCCACTAAGCTCTGGGCACAGGAGCTGAAATCGACAACTCAGGGAAGGAATTCACAGGCTGGAGTTGAGTCAGGCCTCAGAAGGTGCGTGGCAGCCGGCATGGGTGTCACCAAGACAGGGTGTGGGCAAAAACCAACGGAGTGAAGGGGCGAGCGAGGGGCTTTGCTGCAGTGGGGGTGGCATCGGGGACTGCACTAGCTCATAACGTGCTCCCTGTCCCCAAGCTTATGACCCTCTTGCTCACTTTACATGGGACACGATCTGTTCTCAGAAACAGCGAGGAACCTAAAATGGCAAGACTACTAACTTCAGACCCTCCGGGGCTGCTGACCCTGATGGATGCGCTGGAGGCTCAGAGGAGGTCGGGCTGGCCTGATTTGTTAACAAATCAGGTTCCTCGCTGTTTCTGAGAACAGATCGTGTCCCATGGAAAGTGAGCAAGAGGGTCATAAGCTTGGGGACAGGGAGCACGTTATGAGCTAGTGCAGTCCCCGATGCCACCCCCACTGCAGCAAAGCCCCTCGCTCGCCCCTTCACTCCGTTGGTTTTTGCCCACACCCTGTCTTGGTGACACCCATGCCGGCTGCCACGCACCTTCTGAGGCCTGACTCAACTCCAGCCTGTGAATTCCTTCCCTGAGTTGTCGATTTCAGCTCCTGTGCCCAGAGCTTAGTGGAGCACTTGGTTCTTCACAGACATTCAAAATTTCAAAAAACAGGGCCTTGGGCTAAGAGACAAAAGATCTTCAAACGAGTTCTAATCATGAGAGTAAAAATTGCCAGCATTTGGACAGCAGCTGGCAGAGCGCGTGTGCCTATGTTATCGCAGTGATCCTCTTAGGGATGCGTGGTTGGTCCCGTCACTCCATTTGCCTCACGAGAGAACTGGAGTTTACAGAAATCAAACAGCAGAGCCCAACCGAGGCCTGCCGCGGGACCCCTGCAAACTGCTCGGCCTCCCTGAGTGCCCTTCCTTCCCCTGTGAGCAGACACAATAGTGTCTGTCCCACCTACAGCATGGGATCATTGTGGCC